GTGTGTGTGTGTAGATGTGTATATATGTGTATATGTGTCTAGATGTGTATTTGTATGTGTGTAGACGTGTATATGTATATGCTTAATTATATGTGTACTTGTGTATATGTATGTGTGTATATGTATTCGTGTATATATGTGTATGCATGTAGTTGTGTGTATACGTAGATGTGTATGTGTATATGTGTACGTGATTATTTGTTTAGATGTGTGCATGCATATTAGTGTGTATAGGTAAAGGTACATGAGACTCAACACTCTCCGAAGGTTAGTAGATTGATCGTCTCTTGAACCCCGAGGGGACAGGACTCGAATAAACATCCTCCCTATTTTTTAATCTTCACGTGAAGAATTCTTATCTGTTGATTAAATTTCATCTCATCAAAAGGTTGTTCGTTCACCTCGTTAGTACTGGAATAATGTCTGCGGGCCGGACGATTGGATGGTAGTTTTCTAGATGGCTAAGGTTAGCTAGGTATACTATAGGATGGTCTGTGAGTATAGGATATTTCACGAGGAGATTATGTACACCGCCTTATAGTAGTTGTTTTTATCCACTAGCATTCTGACAGCCTTAAGAACCACTCTATGCGTGGCAGACACATTACCAACCTGTTGTTCGCCACTCTCACTTGATTTAGCTAACTCTGTTGAGGTTACAGTACAGCATATAAGTCTGTGTATGAATATATCGATAGGGTGTAGAGAAATAAAAGGAATAGGTATCTATCGGGGTGAAGAGTAAGTAATGTTCTATTGTTCAGTAGATGATTATCTACTACAGGCAAGCAGTACAACAGGTATACTAGGGAGATAGTTCAGTAAATAGGATTAGGTAGTGTGGTTGACGCGCAACATAGTAAGGACTTTTAGGTATAGGGTTAGTGTAAATTTTTATAGGGGTTATGATATATATGTGTATTGAATATTAATAGTGAAGGATATCTATTGTCATTGGCTTAGTTGGGTAATGGGGGGGGAGGTGTAGAAAAAGATATCCATAGCTAGGAGAAAATAAGAGTACAACATTTGATTGAGATTGTGTAGAAAGCTTGGCACACCCCTAAATCCCAGTCAGAAGTAGAATAAGGTAGCTAAGCTTTTGTCTCACTGCTTAAAGAATATAGGGTGTATAATGGGATAGGCCCCTTAGAGGACTATCTTCCTTCTATCCTCCCTATCTTAGAAGTTATGTCCCTTCCCCTAGTTTTAAGTATTGTGATATTTCATGAAGGAATATCTTCTATTGTGTAGTGTTGGATGGACTACCTAGTGGGACAAAATCAAACTACCAGATGAAAGGTGCTCTAATTTACGGTTACGGTAGTTTTGTATACCGTGAACTACCTGTGTCCTAAGCTAGCTTCCTATTAGAGAGAGGTGGCCCACTCTTTTTAAAGTGGGGTACAGACCTATGAATACTCACTAAATGAGTTGATGACTAGGTTTGATACAGTAGCTAAGCTATAGGCACAATAGGTATAAAGTCTTATTCACTTGTGTGTTGTCTCCTATTCAAGATCATTAATTAGAGATTGAGTGCTACTTGATAACTGAAATCTAAGGGAACCCTATTTAATTACCCACTACATCGCTCTATGCCAACAAGTAATAAATAAGGTCATCAGTAAGTAAGAGTAATCAATAAAAAAGATGAAATTATATTATAACTAATTATAAGCACATATATGTGCACTGATTTACCGAATATAATAAACCTCGAGGGAGACAATATAATCTACCCCTGGGGGTGATAGATGTGCACATAGGAGGCTCGCGACCCTCGTAGAGGACAAGGGCGCCCCCCGCATAACCGGCGAGGGGACTCTCGTAGAGAGGGCGTGTATGAGGGTATCCATCGTCCCGCTCTCCACGACTACGAAGGAGGGAGAGAGCATGTACCCATACCTGTACCCGTAGGTGTACACATAGGAGGGCTCCCATCGGAGCCCTCCACCATGCTACGCTACGCGAATAACTTTCATTTACATTCTTACGTGATTCCCGAAGGGGAGGGGTGCTATTCCAGGGGGGTGTGCCTGTACACACAGGAGGGTGTCCCACCCCGCTCTTCACGACTCCGAAGGAGGGAGAGAGCGTGCAGGTATACCTGTACACATAAGAGGGTCCCTAAGACTAGACTACGGGAAGATTGTACGAGATCCCTCCATCATGTAATTTTTAGGTTTGCATTCTTACGTTACGCTGCGCGCTCCGCCCCAAGGAAGTTTAACTCTTACGTCGCGCGCTCCGAATACATAAATTTCCAATGCTCTCTCTCTGCTCCCCGAGCCATCTGTCATTACCGCTTTACTATACTCCCCAATAAACCGCTACCAGTCTACTAACTGTAAATTATAAGTACACCATGTGTACTACCTCAAAGGTATGTATGATCATCTCCCTTCTATCTATAACCTCCACATATGTCTAAGGTAGCAACCCTCATGAGCTCAATCAGTAAGAGGTGTCTCTACCATCTAGCTAACCATCAGAAAGTAATCTTCTAGCAAGCAGTAAATTATTTACTTGTATTCACTAGGAACCCAGTTAGAATTGTCCCAAGAAGTATAGTTGGAGCAGCTACACTTAGACCCCTTTATATACCCCGGATAGTGGTAGCGATGGCAATCAACTTATCTCGTGTAATAACCCACCCAGGGGTAGGTCTAGTGAGGTGGGGGGATCAAGGAACGGATATGTATAAGAGATGATGACCCTCGGATAGGTAGAGGATGGTTCTCCGGGGTAAAAGATGATGGTAGAGTGCAAATATAGCTTGCTCACGGAGAGTGTTAAAAAGAAAATAAAAGAAAGTGAAACGGTACAAGAGACGATAAGTCTGCTAACCCTCGTAGAGAGGAGGGGTGTATAAGATAAGATAAGATGACCCATCCCTTCAGGTACCCCTACGGTAGAAAGACAGCTATGGGGTGGTAGGTAGCCTACTGGGGCACCTCTCAGGATGAAATAGTGATAGGCGGTATTTGTGTGAGTATAGGAGATATACATTTATGGGTAGAGGTGTACATGTATAATTATAAGTATAGTAGTAACTTAATATCTGTTTATAGCACTGTGTATGATCCTTCAGTATCTTCCCCTCCTTTATGTGAATATTGGGAGAGTAAGTCTTGAAATCATCGGAATTACTTATATCTTAAAGGTCATCATATACACCTCTACCATATAATCTTCTCTCCCTGATACACATCACAATTATATGTAATTTACCGACCACGGAGTATATACATAGATACACTCCCCACAAGAGTATCAGACTCTCTGCATAGAATAATCCTATTAGATGTCCTATTTTATAGACTCTCATCTTACTCATAGAGTGATTCAAGTTATCAATTAGGCAGAGGCTACAATTAGTTCTATTAAGAGTTAAGCGTGCCCTTGAGGTTACTCACATGGGGCCACCATCAGATATTTATTCAATCTTTCCTATTGTGTGGGTTATCTAATATTTCCGTAACGAAAGCTAAATTAACTACTCCATCTTAAAAGATAAATCAACTCTTGAACTAAATGTTCCCATGTCTAGTTATCAATCTATGAGTTATATAGTCACACAACCGCCCCACTAACTAAGCTAAACACCTTTTCTAAAAGGACTCGAACCTACCTTCCTTTATGACGATAACTCTAGCTCAGAGGTGACCCACGTATTATTATTCAACAGTATAATTAAAATCCGTTAGATTGTATTGTTTTTTAAGATGGGACTTGGTCGGCCACCATTTTACTTTTACTTGCTAGACATTAAAATTAACTCTTACCCGAGTGGGGCTAAACCTGGTTAGGTACTGGTAGAGGGATATACGTACAGTTAGTTGGTAGACTATACTCTCCTATTTTAGTCTACTAATAAGACTAGGGTGTAGAGTACATACCTGTCTTCCACTAGAGATGAGGAGATCTGAGTATAAGTATACATAGTGTTCATAAAAGAGAGATAGCTACTTAAATTTTTGGGTCTAAGATCAGGAGGGCAGTTATGAGGAAGCTAATTAGCAGGAGACCAGCTATGTGTATGAGGGCGGTCTGAGGTAAGGAGGTTGCGTAGACACAGTCTTTACAGAGGGGATATACACCAAGCCGATCACAGAATTCCTTTTTTTATTTTTAAAACTTATCTTAATTTTAATAAAACAAAATAAAAATTAAATTAAAATATATAAAAAACCAAAAATAACCAAACCCTCAATACTGCTCTAACGAGGCCCATAAAGTGTTTGAGCCGGATATGCCGGATTCCGAACGGCCTATAACGAAAGGCTGAAAGTGAACTAAAGATAAAATAGGAGGGATTCGAGGTGGCTCTGTCGCATCTCAACCCCCCCCCCCTCATAAAAGTCCCAAATGTTGTCATGGCCCCCCACCCCTTATCACTGTTAAGGTAACCCCGATGGAATGAGAATTGGTTAAGACGACGATGGAAGTCGATAAAGGGGTGATTAAGATGGCGAAGTTAAAAGAAGCTATAAGTGGCACTCCTAAGATGTAGCAGTAGTTCCTCCTCTCTACCATTCAGTATTTATTCCGAGACCATAAAAAGGAACCAAATAAGGTATTATTTGGTTGTTCTTAAATTTAAAAGATAGTACTTCTTTTTGTATAGAGCAGTATTGAGGTTTGGTTATTTTTTGGTTTTTTATTGAATTTAATTTAATGTTTATTTTTGTTTATTAAAAACAAGATGAGTTTAAAAAATAGAAAAGGATTCTGTGAGTGGCTCCGTGTATACCCCACCCTGTTGGCATGTCAGACAATCGCATTTTGCCTCTGTAAACAACGCCATCATTGCTATCTGGGTCTGAATCACTGGAGCTAGATGCATCATCAGTTGACTGTGTAAGACCAACATTATTGCCATTCCATGCATGGGCACGTGCCGGGGAGCGCATCTTATCAAACCCAGAGTTGAATTCATCTCAAGGTTATGAAACACTATATCTTATCCTAACATAATGATTGCATGCAAGATCTCACAAAGACTACACTACCACACCCATTAGTAATCCACCAGTACTGTACATCCTCACCTATTGAATACCTTTACTAACCTTTTTAACTAGTATCCAGAATCCAATTAC